GCCGACAAGCATGCGAGTGTACATACATACATATGTGACTGTAAAACTATAGCAACACAAGAATGATTCCATTTACATAGATAGGGGGAAACGTACACAATTTATTTACATAAATACATGCATATTTAGCGTAATATGTAGCTTAATCATTTTTAGAAAAACGCTTGGAATAAGAGATTAGGCATTAGAAAACTTCCGAATTTTGCTACTAGTCATATGTACATACAATCATATGTATGAACATATTCAAGTGACCGCGTTTGTACATAGTATGTATGTATGTATGCATGTATGTACTTTGTGCATGTATGTATGTACTTTTAAGGGGGTTGATTTCCCAAAACGAAATTGAAGCCTAGGTAAACCGGCTGGTTGTTGTGTTGTACTTGCATGCATGTACATACATATGTATGTATGTCTGTATTTAAGCTGCCTTCTCCGTTTGCGCCCAATGCGGCATTTTCAAGAAACAGACCGAGGAGGCAGCTGCTATCGAATTTCCAGAAATAGTCAGACAAACGGGCAGGAAATGCAGCACGGTAGGCAGATGTGCCCGCAAAATGTGTACATATGTATGTATGTAAATACATTTACTGTATTGGCAGGAAATGCACAGCAGCACACGTTGTATGTATGAATGTACTTACATATATACGTCTGTATGTACGTACATATTGATTTGCATTTACCGGCAGAGACCGGCGCCATTATTGAGGTTATGTCTGATGCCATTTGCACAAATGTGCAAAGAAATGAGGTTATCTTTGCCGTTAAAGTAAGTGGAATAGATAGTTTACCTAATACCACACGCTTAAGACTAGTTTGAAAAAGTTTCAGCATTAAACGGAGCTTTTTCAGCGATAAATGAAAACAGTTGGCTTCGTGAAATCAGCGCCAGCTGCAAACACAGATTTCATATGACTATATTTGTACATGGATGGTGTCAAGCCAACGCATTTTTATAATGACGACACTTCGGAACCGGCTCACAGAGATCTGTTCACACAGATGTGGCGGTCTATGGTGGTGCGTAGGTGGTCCCATGACCAGCAAGCCCCCACAATCGAGATTTGATTCACGATTGAATGCCTTACGCCGAAATGTTTGATCAATAAAGTCAAGTTCGGAAATAGAGATACAAATGTGCTGGCAAATCTGCTACACTGTACAAAATCAGAACCAAATAGAGCAATACAGAACACATGAGCTCCGTTAGTTCAGAAGGTCTGTTTAGAAACAGAAGACATAAAAAATGCATTCAATAGGATATCGATTTTGTTGGTCAAAGGGAAAGAGAACTCCTAGAGTTGTTGAGTACAAACATACATATGTATGTACGCCAATATTGCATTTGTAGAAATACATTCTACATTTGTTCGACATGTACTTGGGCTGCCAACCTATTTTACACTTGAGTTGCAAGTTGAGTAAAAAACAGTATGGCTGAATAAATATTTTTAGGTGTCATTGTTTTTGAACGCATGGCCTTGCTTAGTCATTTATACTTTCATTTTAACTAAAAAGGAATTTATTCCCTATGTTGGAGATAAGGTATACATATATTAAATATTAAAAACATCGCTTGGGGTGTTTAACGATATAAAGGAATTTTGCAATACATTTTTGTCCTCTGTCATAGTTTTTATTAGGACAAACGATTTCTGGAATTAAAACTAGACAATTTAAACATAAAATACACTAAACGAAAACAATACTAGACATTTCTCAGGTTATGATTTAAAAACATTTCGTCCACAGCCCGATCGCTGCCCTCTTGGTATCCAGAAAATTCGACAATCAGACTTTGGGCAAATGTAATACTGGTTGGAGTTGCAAATACCTTGCAACTAACTTAATATAGCAGTGGAAAAAGGCATTCATTGTCCACTAGTGTGGCAAATTGAAATCAGTCTTCAGCACTTCTTGCTTACTCAGATATTCGCTGATTTCCCGGCTACTGTGTCGACTTTGCTGACACTTGAACGGGGAGTGATGAAATCGTTGTATATTGTGTCCTACTGAACCTTTTCCTCTGGCGGTCGGACTCCACATAGAACGACTCCATTATTGATTTGCAATTGCCTCTTATAACCTTCTTTTCGGATTCCTCGAAAAGTAGTAGATTGTGTTGGTTTTTTGACTGCTTCCAACTACTTTGCAGAGTTCTCGAAGTTCGACAAGAATCAATTCACGGCCATTACGCTGGTTAATGTAAGACTTTCTTTGTCTTACATGTCATAGAATGTCCAGCAAAGCCAAACTCTAATTGTGCTGGACATCTTTAAACGTCCCAATTATTCTGTTCAATGGCGATATACGGATGGCTTTAAATACTCAACGCACTTTTCATTTAGAAATTCCAGCTGTAGTGTCCGACTGAAAATCTTGTCAATTGCTCGGTTCAACTGTATGTCAGTGATGCCAATATTTTTCTGAAAAAAAATGAAAACTTAGAAAAACTTAAAAAGGGCAGATTTCCGGATAAAGCAGTAAAAAACAAGACAGATCTGTCCAGAAAAAGGCTAAATAAATAACATAAAAATATATATCCCTTTCAGTGTAGGGTATTAAATTTCTTAACAAGAATTTTATATTGTATTTTAAATATTTTTTGTGAATAAATATTTTAAAATAAATATTATAACATTTCAAACACTTGGATGAATAACATTTGCCTGGTTATTTGTTCAAGAGGGATGCCAATGTGATCTTGCAAGTAATCACACTTAAGAACACATACACTACATAAGAGAGATTACTTGAAATATTTTGTGACTCTAAATTAGAAGACATGCCTTACAGTCTTCACTAGAACAAGTTGGGAAAAATATGTTTCCTAAACAAATATTAAAAGCGGCAATAACTATGTGTTCCAACAGTAAGTTAAACATTCTTCAGGCTTTATTTAAGCCAATTTTTACTACTTTGTGCAAGTAACACATACACTACATACACACATACGTACATACATACATACGTACATACATACGTACATACATACATACGTACGTACATACATACATACGTACATACATAAATACATACGTACATACATACATACGTACATATATACATACGTACATATATACATACGTACATACATACATACGTACATACATAAATACATACGCACATACATAAATACATACATACATATATACATGCATGCACCGGTACATACACTACACTCACTGCTCGACTTGAAATATTTTGTGACTCTACATTGGAAGACATGCCAGTCTTCACTAGAACTAGTTGGGAATTATAGGGGCCACAAGAAAATATGTTTCCTAAACAAACATTAAAAGCGGCAATAACTACATATGTGTTCCAACAGTAAGTTAAACATTCTTCAGGCTTTATTTAAGACAATTTTTACTACTCACTTTAAAGACTTCACTATTTCACTCACTAGTATAATTATGACAAAATAATAGATTATTATTTAATTACTTACAGCTCGAGATTAATTTAGTAGCACTTTGTATCAGGGGATGCCAATATTTGTATGAAAAAAAAGGGCAGATTGAGAAAAAAATGGAAAAAATAGGCTGAGAATTTCAAAAAAGGATGAAAAAACAGGACAGATTTTTTTTATGATTATTATTTATTTAGTTAACTTTTAATTTAATATTTTAAATGTTTCGTCCACGACGCATTCGTCCTCAACGTTTGATTCATACGTTGCCATTGTGCCAATGCGTTTCTAATACGTTTTGGGCATTTTATAGGTTTCCTGGTTTCCAGGTGTAGTCTTATCTCAGAACAGGAGTACACGTAGGCTTTTTAAACATATTAACAAGCAAGCTTTAAACTGTGCATCTCTTCGAATAGTGGAAGAGCAAGCGGTTGAAAACATACAAATACGTACACGCTTTATCCGGTGGCACGGAGCTACAGCTGCCGCTTGAGGTAAGAGTTCTCGGGCCTTGATATTATCGCCGTAGGTTGTGCCAATGCTTAGAAGGATGCCCACTATTCATTATCGGCGGTCAGCAGTTGTATACAGACCGCGCGGTCACTGTTCCCAGGACATCTTTCATGGTTTTCTCATCGAGCGATATATGTACATACATATCTTAGTCTGGCTTCACTTCCATGTTGTGGGCTTGTGCCTTTAGTTGCATGGTACATTGGGCTTCATCTGGTTGGATGTGGTTATCTGAAACTAGTGCACATTGTAGCAGTTGCGACAAACCACGAAGTTTTCGATGTCATCACCCTTCTCATCCACGATCATGGCAAACAGGTGCCCCACCCTGCACCGTCCCCGCTTGTACCGAGGGTCTCCGCTTGATCGGCTATGTAGCCATAGGAGGCCGGAGTCGTCAGATCCGGTGTGGCGCACAGCGAACGGGACCGTCCATGTGCACTTCAATTATAAGGCATTACAATTAATAAGCACAGTGGTGAAGATGTAACTTTTTATTACGAGGAAGTCATGGTCATGACCAGGTCTCCTGTTGTTCGGGCTCACGGCCATCAAAGCTAAGCTCATGCTTTCCAATTCTCGCAGAAAATTCCATTGATGAATTGTTTTCAAATCAAAACAAAAACATACATTCTTAGAGATGTGATTTCGATACAGTATGCACGATTAGTTTTCAGTCAACAGCACACACGGCATGCGATATTTCGAATTTCAAGATCAAGGGCTACGGGGTGAATTTCACATTAATGAAAAAAAAGTTTTATAAACCATGTTTAGATTTATATATATATTATATTCTAATATATAACACTTTCTTTATAACTATAGGAGAGAGAAATATCAGAAGATGCAAATTTACTCCGACTATTTGTCTTGAGTTAGGGTCAGAACACGGCTAATTTTTTTTATTTCCCTTACTTTTACTTTAACCCTATTTTGACCTATTTAATAAAATTAAACAATACTTTAAGCTTGATCAATTTTTTTACAAATTCAATGAGTAATCAAATACAAATATGTTTTTTAGTTTCATCTTTATGTCCGTGACATTGCGATCGTGAAAAAATCACGTCCGATGCTGCATTTGAAACTAGTTCCAGTTCCACTGCACTGTAAAGTTTCCGAAATTAGTTCATCGTCAAAACGTTCGGTTTCTAAAGCAAATTCAACAACTCGGGATTTAATAATTTGTTTAAAATATAACAGGCAATCGAACTGTTGAAAAACCAAAACTTAAACCATGCCAAACAGCAAGGAAACAGGAACTGATCCCGATCCTGTGGATGATCTTAAGTTAAGCGGTCGCGATAGCGTCGCGTAAGTATTTCTTACAAGGATTCGATTGCCATTACTCCTGCACGTCCTTGGTACCTCAAAAGCTTGAAGGATCTACTGCAGAAGCGACTTCTGGAGTGCGGATGGCGCAAGGACATTGAGGAAATGATACGCCACACCATCGAGGAGCGAGGAGTGGCCAACTTGACCCGCGACCAACTGGCTGCCGAAATAGTCCCTCATGTAGGTTCAGTCCACGATTTTAGTGCGTTCTAATAATTGAAACCTAAATAGGCTCGCGCTTTGGTGCCTGATGTCATCAAAAAGGAGATGCTGATGCGCGTGCGCGCCGCCCTGGAATCCTCGCTTCCCCCGGAGAACTGATTTCCCATCAAGACCCATCCAGAATGTCGAGTTCAGCTGAGCATTTACCGCATTAAAACCGCACGTCCTAAATTCTAGCACATGTGTTTGTGTTTTATTATCGTATTTAAGTAGATATTTACATACGTAAGCTAGTTATGAATTGCGCCATTAGTTATACAATATGCATGTAATAAATAAACAACCTAATTGTAGTTAGAATACGTTGTCGCTATGTTCATGGTATGGGTACTCGATTGGCTAAACAAAATTTGTGGTGGTTTTGTTGGGGGAAATTAGGAACGCGGTTGGGCTCTGCTTGTATTTCTTCTATTATGCTACAAATAATAAGGCTAAACTGTAAGTGTTACTCCGTTAATGCTTTACGTTTACTTATTCAATAACGAGTCGATTGAAAAGTCTTTGAATTTGGCGTTGGAATCATCGTTGAACGTCTGCGGCTGCTGCAGTTGCTCCTGTTGCTCCTGTTGCTTGAAGTCAGACGCCGCTGAAGCTGCCGTTGCAGTCGGCAGCATTTTCAGTAGTTTGTTGCGTGGTTTGCGCAAAAACTTTGTGTTTATTTGAAACTTGGTTGGTTTGTGGTTTGCACTGGACTGGGCTTGAAACACGGCAGTACTTGTGGATGTGTTTTCCCCTATGTCTGACGACTGGGCCGCCTGTGATGTTGCGATTGAGGTGACTGGCTGAACTGCATTAAGTGGGGAGCTATAATTCTGGCGCCAGGCACGCAGTTGCCCTCCGGCAGGGGACTTTACGATGGTTAAAGGCTTTGACGCTGTTGCTGGGGTGGGTGGCTTTGTCGATGCATAAGCAGTGGGTCCGAAGCACTTGAGGAAATTTTGAACGTGCAGCAAGCTGTCGTTGTCGTTTTTATGCAACGGCCTGCGCTGTTTGTCCTCGTTCTCGTCCTCCGCCTCGTAGTCCACCGATGACTGCTGCTGGGAGGAGGACGAAAAGGTCGAAGAGCTGCTATCGCTGCTGAGCTGTAATGATAGATTTGCGTTAATAAGGTGGACAAACAATGCCAGCTCAATTTCCAGCACATACATCATCTTCATTTTTGTCGATCAGCTGCTGAAAGCCAGACTCCGCCGGGCTCAGCTTGCTGTACTTGCTGTGCTGAGGCAGTTTTTTGCTGCCGTGATTGCTGCTACTGCTGCTGGTACTGCTATGACGGGCTCCTCGTTTGGCCAGGGACTGCTTTCTCTTTATCGTTATCTGTTGCTGCGGTTGCTGAAGGACTTGCTCACTGTACGACTTTCAGCTAGTTTTGGCGAGGTTATCGTCGCGCCTTAGTTGGGACTGAAAGTAAAAAGTCACGAATGAGTAAGGTTTTCACAGGCTTTTACTAAGGATTTTACACTAGTTTTTGGATTATTTTTGAATAATTTGGTTTTGAAGGAAACATATCTTTATCTTTTCTTTCAGCCTGGCACACAAAACAACAAACAATTTCGGGTTAGCTGCCAACAGCAATGGTATATTAACAATGATCTATGTGGGCATTAAAGCGGATGAATTTGAAATAGTAGTGTGTGGGTTTTGTAATTTCTTGCGCTTTTCCGATTGATTGACTGATTGACTGATCGAATGACTGACTGACTAGGGGTGAATAATGCGTAGATGATCATGGAGCTGACGCAAAATTAAAAGGTGAGAATGCACGAATAACAGGCACTGGCTTATGATTATGGATTCTCATGTGGCAAGGACATGCACCCACAATCACACTGACACACACACAGGAACTCGTTCGCACGCACTCTACTACCTGATGATGCGTGCTGTACAGAGCCGCGTGGTGCACCGCATAGGAGGAGGAGGTGCTACTTAAACCGTCAACGCCAACGCCGCCGCCACCCACTTGAATCTGAATGCTAGGATGTTGGTGTGGGTGTGGGTGGTGGTGCTGCTGACCCATGCCCGTGCCCGCTGTGGTCGTAAAAGTAGTTGTGGTTGTTGCTGTTGTTGCAGCCATGGCTGTCGCTGACCCACCTCGTCCAATTCCACCGGCAGCACCACCTCCAGCGCCCAGGCTCATTCCCACGCCAAGTATATGGGCGGCCGCCACAGCAGCGCTGGTGTGGTGCGGCTGATGCATATGATGTTGCACTTGTTGCTGCTGCTGCAAAGGATGCGACTGGTGTTGCGCCTGATGCTGCTGTTGCTGCTGCGATGAATGCTGGTGATGCAAGTTGTTGCTATTGACGGCACTACTGGCATTCAAGCTCCCAACGCTGCTGTTGCTGTTCCCAGCATTGTTGAACGCATGGGCCGCAGACACGTGTCTATAAAAATGAAGAATACATACATACATTGTTTTCATTATTCTGTAATTCCAGATCCAGATGCGTATACAATTACTTTGAGGATCAAAAAGGCAAGTCTCACCTCATTCCCAAATTGGTTGCATTGGACATGTTCATGCCGGAGATGGACATTGATGATGCAGGTGGTCCGCTGGCACTCGAAGAGCTTGTTGGATTACTGCTGCTGTTGCTCACACTATTGCTAATTGTATTGTTACTGCTGTTGCTGTTGCTATTGCTGCTGTTGTTGGTGGCACCTGGTCCGCGATAGTCGAGCACTCCACTGGAACTCGCAGCAGCAACTGTAGGCCGGCTATTGGCCATGGTGGGGATGGTGGTATTGATGGCCGTGGTTGCAAGTGAGACGGCTGCTGCGATTGTTGTGGCCGCATTGAGGGCACTGATGTTGCTGCCGAGTCCGATGTTGCTGCTGCCGCTGTTGCCGCTGGAAGCTATTGTGGAAATGACAGAAGTTGTACAAGTTGATGTTGCTGTTGTTGTTGAGGTTGTTGTGGTGGTTGTTGGAGCTGCCGTTGTTGATATGGCGGCTGTAAGCATTTGGTTAGATTGTGAGTACCCTGCTGTTGCTGTTCCATCTCCACGAAATTTGTATGTTTGTGCGGTATTAGTTTGTAATTTGTGAGTGCGTGTAGTAGGGGAGTGTTGAACTTGGTGTGCGGGTGTGGGGCTTTCCTCACTGCATGCAACAGACAGCAACACAACGAACTTAAGTGTAACTAAAAGTAGCAGGTCTTGACCTGGAGTTAACCACCAACCCAGCGTGTTAATATTTGTCTAAGCAAACTCTGAAAACTCTAGGTACAGATAACGAAAACTTAGGTAAATAAATTTAGAATTTGTGTTGGTTTTGTGTTTAATATATTAAACATTTTATTCATTTTGTAAATAAATAAAATCGAAAAATATTAGCTTTTAGATATCGAAAGAACTTAACTATTAACTTGGCCAAGGAAATCATATCTCGTTTCAAGAGTAAGTATAATTAGATCTGTATTTTCCGTAAATACGTATAACTAACTTAAAAGTATAAATAAAGGTAAAGTTATCTAGTCTTGGTATGGTTCGATGATAAGGGTAGAGAAGCATTCCGAATTAAAAAATGTGACGAGTTGTCAATGTGGTCGATAAATGCAATAGGTATTTTCTCAATCACTGATTTAGTGCGATAATCTGTAGTTTCATTTACAGCATGTGGCTGTGTATATATGTACATAAATTGCTTATAAGGATGACCATGTGTAACAGATTAGTTGTTAACTTAATATAAGTTACTTAAGACTACAACGCGAAGTAGACTCGAATTCAATTTGTATGTACAACGAATACCAAACAAAAAATGGATGTACAGATAACTAAACGCAAAATTTGGTCTGTGAGCAGTGGCTGTGTAAGTGGGATGTGGGCTCCTCCAGTGCCACATGGTTGGAGCGAGCAAGTGCCGACACCAAGTACAAGAGAGAATAGGCGCCATCCCTACTTACCGTGCGCCTCGGCCTTGGTGTTGCTTGCGATGGTACTCAGGGGGATCTGGAGGCGCGCATTGACCGCCAGCAGGTGATCACGTCGCGCTATGAGGCTGGTAACATGCTCTTCCAGCCGGAGGTTTTCGCTCTGCAGCTGGTGCAAGCAATTGAGTAGTGAGGCAACTGCGATTGAGAAATTAAGTGTTAATATCCAAAGACTAGCATTCAGCTCCCGATATGCGACTCATACTCACTGTCAAAGTGCTGCGCTTGCTCCATAAGAAACTGCGAGCCCTGTTCCCACTGGCGCTCCAGCAGCTGCTCCAGACTTTGCGGAATTGGCATGTTGCCGTTCATGCCGCCACCGCTGAACATCGATTGCAGCGGATTCTGAGCTGTTGTGGCGTTGCTGGGCACGGCAGTGGAGTTCCGCTGGAAGGAAAGGAAACAGTATTTTTGAAGTTATTTCCATGTAATAGGAAACCTTAGGTTCTTGGAACAGGCATTTATTATATATTATAATTTTCATTCTTTCTTTATAAGCCTGTATAGTGCTTCTTACCTGCTTGCCGGGGAACGGAACTCCGACGTATTGCGAGTTCATTGAATCGGGAGTGTAGATCGAGTGATCCTGAACCTCCATGTGTAGCTGCTCGGACAGCTTCTGGGCTACGCTGCTGTTTGGGTTGATCTGGTTGCCCAGCATATGGGCGGCCGTGTGTGTAATGATCGAGCTGGCTGAGCTGGCAGCATTGGACAAAGCCGGAGTTGCAGGAGGCGTTGGTGTACTGCTAGCTGGATTGCCCGAGGTATTGGGCGCCCCATTCTGCAGTATGCGTACATCCTTGAGATCCTGTTGAGCATTGCTAAGAGCAGCTGCTGCTGCTGCTGCCGCCGCTGCTGCAGCTATCGTCGCGTCTTTGGCCTTCCGTCCACGCTTCCGTACATTTCCAGTTTGAGCAGCCGCCGCTGTCGGAGCTCCAGTCAGGGAACCGGCTGCTGCAGTTGCGGAGTGCATGGCCGATCCAATCTCAGAGCCGGGCGAACTGGGCGGAGAATCCTTTATGGCACTCACAGGCATCATGGGCACGTCCATCTGGGTCTGACTCTCGTAGGTAAACTTGAGACCACCGGCAGAACTACTGGCTGCCACCGAGCTAAGTGGCAATTGGTTGCTCAGTACGACCAATGGAGATGTTGTCGCGGGCACTGCAGATGTTGATGACGATGAAGTGCTGGCCGTGCTCAGATCAGGCGTTCTATTGTTGGGTTTCGACGTGGGCGTATTGGAAGAGGCAGTGGTATTAGTATTAGTGAATTGCAAAATCTCTAGATCTTCGTGTTGCTGCTGTGACTGTTGCTGTTGTTGCAAGTGCGTAAAGCTAGCTGAGTTGGAAGCTGAGGCTGA